GGGAATACTTACAATGAACTTCCATAATGCTGGGAGCCTTTTTTTTTTTCAGAAAATTGGAGCACCTAGTTTCTTTGGACTTACTTCAAAGAATGTTTAAAAAGATTCAAAAACAAACTAAAGTTTGTTTTATTATAAAAATGGATGCCTGTCAGAATGGGTGTTTTCAGAGAAAACAGGTCTTTCATTGCTCAAATTAATTTATTAATTGTTTCCTTAAGGTTATTTCCAAATAAACTTTTACTGTCCAGGCACATGTTTTCTATTTAAAATTTAATTAAATCACAAAAATTTCTAATCATACAAAGAAAGACACACAAAATATGAAATGAGGTAAAAGAAAATTTAAAAGGTCATTCTTTTTCCCTGAATAAAATTCATAATAATATTAAAACAGCTATGTTTTTCATCAAGGAAGTCCTTAAGCAGCTAATTTTTATATAAATATATTCCATGCTAGTTCAATAAATTTTTAAATGAGTATAATCTTATTAAGCTACAATTCAGAAAGACCAGAGGGTGGATGGTTATTTACATGTGAAAGCAATGAATAAATGCACTGAATAAATGAGCCCAGTAATTTATTAGAGCTGACCAACAGAATTTAGGGGATGAATTCTTTTTAGAGGGGAATTAAGTGAGAAATGCTTGCAGAGAAACTAATTTGTGATATATTTTTTGAATATGATAAGCATAATCAGATAGGCATCATGGTTTAATGGACAAAGGGTGAGCCTTAGGAGCAAGACTGACCCTGGCTATGTGACCAGAGAAAGAAAAAAGGAAGGAAAAGAAGGAAGAGAAGGGAAGGGGAAAAAAGGGAAAGAAGAAAAGAAGGAAAGAGAGAGAGAGAGAAAGATCAGTTTTGCACAACTTAATGGCATTTGAACTCCTAAGGATTGCAAAAGGGAAAAGAATAATAGGTCACATTATTTTTTATTCTAGTACTTGTGGTTCTGATAAAAAAAAAAATAGGATGGAACTGGTAGAAATCATTAAGATACATGTACTGGCTGAGTGTGATGGGATGCACACCAGTAGGTGATGCCAGAGAGTAGGGGAAAATGTGCACTGACTCCAACACACTTGCACACAGGTTCCCATTCCCCTCAGGCTCAAATACACAATGTCATTCTCCTCAGCATGCCTTGCTATCGCCAGCTGGGGCTCCCTCTTCTTTAACTCCACTTGGGCAGGAAGCCAGTCTGTCCTCTGTACATACTACGTCCTCATGGAGATTGGACCTGTGATTTCTTTGGTTCTATTGGTTCACATACTGGTTCATTGGAACTATTAGACGAGGAAGTTCTCTCTACCAATGCCAGTCGGCCCCTTCTCTGTAAGTTATAGTTTTAGAGACTTGTCTAGAGAGTATTAAGAGGTAAAGCAAATTTGCCAAGGTGAACAGAGCCCATATGTATTAGTGGTAGGAGCTGAACCCACTTTGAAGCCTCCTCTCTATTTCCTATGCTGTGCTGCCTTTCTTGGCCTCAAATGCAAAGGACCTGATTTTATGATTAAACACCCAATGACATGTTGAATGACATAGTAGGCATTTCTTTCCCTCTTATATTGCATTAATTTTTCTTTTTAAGGCTCTAGAGAACTTAATTGTCCAATAGAAAATAGGTTCCACAGGTTTCTTCTATTTAAAAAATAAATAAATAAAAGACTGAAAATGGTACTTTGTGTGTCTATGACATTGCAGCTTTAGTTTTGCTTTCCCATCAGCTTTAATGACAAAAGAAGGCTCATCTCGTCTTTCTCAGCTTGGATGCTTGTTTCTTCAGTAGTGTGCCCAAACAAAGGAAGTTATGTAATTGTCATCATTCACATGTAATGCTCAAGCCTTATTAAATTTAACCTAAATGAATAAAAATACAGCTGAGAAGAGGAAGCAGCTCTCATCAGAAAAGGAAATCTCTCCAGAGTTATTCTATTTCTTTCCTTCAAAATATCCTCTTCTTTGGAGATTATTTCAAGCTATGAAGCCTGGTTTAAGCGAAAAAGTTGGTTTTAGCTGGGCTTTCCAATACTTGCCACAATCTCTGTCGTAGTTTATCTACTTATTCTGTCTGAGGACACTTCTGTTCTATAGAACCCATTTAAAAATATCCGTATGTTTGAGTTTCATTTAGAAAACTTGGGGGCAAATTGTCTTCTTTTAGTTCTTCAGAAGAACTTGCCCAGGAAGAGTCTGGGTTTAGAAATGATGGTAGTTGCAAAATATATACATCTTAATCCTAAATACAAATCAACCCTTCAGGCAGGTGTGAGATGAAGAGTAAGAAAGTGTCTCTGAGCAGGAATGTGATGGCCATTCCCCATGGAAGAAACACAGCACAAGTCTGTGCAACAAAATACTGGTTTGCTTTTCCTTCTGATTCAGGAGTGCAGTTTTAACTGTGGCTGACATGGCCAAAGAGGGTAAGAAATAGCTAAAGCCTGCTTGCAGCGACTTGGAAGATTAAAAATGTTTGCATCCAAAGTGGACACGTTTACAAAACTCTCCAGGCTTCAAAACCGGAATCAGCTGATAGGAATGGTAAATATTTTATAAGAGTGAATAGGTGTTATAAGGTTCTTAGGTGTTAAGAGAAACTTTAGAGTAAACTATTATTTACCAGAGGTTTAAGTTAAATGGCAATTGATAAGTTAGATAGAAAGCAAATATCCGTGTGTAGGTAGGAATTTCCCCCATTTTTCATATTACTTCTTACAGTATGTCTCTTTCATTGTTCAATTCTCATAGAAATAAGCTTTCTAATTCATTTAATGGTTTCTGAAATTTTAAAGAGCATTCAATTAAACTCAATCCAGCAGGTATTATTGCTATTATATTATTATTAATAATTATTATTATAGAAGCAGCTAGGTGGCAGAGTAGATAGAGCACAGAGCTTGGAGTGAAGAAGACCAGCTTCCCATATATTTACTAGCTGTCTGACCCTGGACAAATCACTTCAAGTTCTGTTTACCTTGGTTTCCTCATCTATAAGATAGGAGTAATAACAGCACCTACCTCCCAGGGTTGTTGTGAGGATCAAGGGAGATAATAATTGTAAAGCACCTTAGCACAGTGCCTAGCACACAGTAAGTACTACATAAATGTTAATGATGATGATGTGATTATTGTTACTTATCTTACCTTGAGAATGCTAAACTGCAAAGACAGGTTGGGGTAGTAGAAAGAGCCTGAGATTACATCATGAATGGTAATTTTGAGTACCAGTTTTTATACTTACTCATTGAGCGACTGTGGAATCTCAGTTTCCTCATCAGTAAAATGGGGATATTATTTGTTCTACCTGCCTCAAAGTGCTGCAGTGAGGAAAGTGCTTTGTAAATCTTCAAAATGCCATATAAAACCGAGTTTGTATTTTTATCGACTAAGACACTAATGCCATCTGCTGGCAGCTTTGGGACATTGGAGTACTAGCCCCTAAGGGGTCATGCCTTGCAAAACTAACCTCTATGCGTAAGTAATGGTAAATATCACATCATGGTGATGAAATACAAGAGAGAAAAAAGAAAAGGAGATTATTTTGCATAAGGATTACAACAAAAGGCAGTAGGAGAATTGAACACTATTCAAATTTTCTAGACTGTTGTGTAAAGCACCTGGGACAAGCTTGGAGGAGAAGGGTAGGACACTTTGGAGATGATATGAGGCTATTGCTGGAGAGGTCACCATGAAGAAGGAATGTGGGCATGGCCAGGCAAGGAAGGAGCTTACCTGGAGTGTGGAAAGGCTTCAGGATTCCACCTCTGGCGTGAATTGGGCACATTGTGCCATGAGTAAGTTTTGTGCAAGTCACGTGAAGTTGGAAGCAACCACTCAGATGTAAGGGCTATCTGGTCTGTACCTCCACAGTACAGCTAACAGACCTTGACTCCAAACTCCCAGGAGGAGATATGGGGAAGGTGACAGTCAGAAGAAGTTACAGCAAGATAAGATGCCATGGTAATTATTTCCCCCCTAGGATACAGGGAGTCATACAGAGAAAGCAGGTGGGTGGTGGGAGGCAGGGGGAATGAGGCGCACACAAGATCTCCCACACCATCTGGGGCCGTCTCCAGTCATCCTGATCTATATCTGGCCACTGGACTCAGATGGCTCCAGAGGAGAGAGTGAGGCTGGTGACTTTGCACAGCCCTGCCTCACTTAAATCCAATTCACTTGCAAGTCATGGCATCACCTTCCTGTGGTTATTGGTCCTCTTCGAGAAAAAAGGACAAACAATGACAACATTAAGTCAAAGGAATATTAGAAATCTAGGGGATGAAGTATATACCCTGTAAATTTTGATCCACCGAGGCAAGTCTTTACCTGGCTCACAGCCTCAATTATCCCACCTTGGTTATAGTTTTGCTGCCATCAATACAAAATCAGTATTTCTGCCATTAATATCTATCTCAAATACTATGACAGAATGAGGGGCAGTATAGTATAGAGGAAATGAAATTGCTTCAAGGAGTCAGGAGACATGAGTCTAGTTTCATCTCTGCCACTAACCAACTTTGTGCCCTTGGGCAAATCATGTTTCCTATTTACACCTTGATTTCCCTGTTTCTGAAATGAAACATTTGGATTAGATGATCCCTGAAGTTCTTACCTATAATTCTGATACCTGTATTGTACTATCTTCTAGGATGAAAGAAAATCAATGTATTTGGCCAGGCATATTCCTTTAACAAGTTTAAAAATGAGACTAGTAGATAAACACAAAGACTAGTGTTTTGTTTTGTTTTTTAAACTATGTTTTATGGAACAGCTAGCAAATTAGCAACATGTATGTTCTTAATTATTGCAGTACAATTATTGCCTTTGGCAAAACAGACAAGACTGGCATGCTAGCAATATCCATATTTTATCTTAGAAACTCATGATTTACATTCTTAGAAAAGACTAACATTCAGCTACATCCTTCTGTCTTCTGGTTTCAATGAAAAAGAGAAAAGCAACTATTTTTTTTTAAATAAAGACTCAAAAAATGCCCTGAAATTTCAACTTTATTTATTTGTTAACAAAACACCAACTTTAAAATTTGAACACCCTTAATATACAAAGAGATTTTAAAAATGAAAATAACTAGTTGAAAAACAAATTAGCTACATGCTATGAGCTCCTTTGCTAAATTTTCTTTAATTATACTTCACAAAAATAGGCACTTCTGAAAGCATTTGCTCCATGTAAACATTTTTAGTGCATTGTTATTACTTTCAAGTAAGGTAGTGTAATATTTTATCATTTTTAGCAGCATTAAAAGCTGAAGATAATTCTTTTTATCAGTCATTAAATTAAGAGACAGATGGTCAAAATGTAAGAAACCTCTGTTCATGGAGCCAGTAAAGGCAACAGCAAGGAGTTGTATCGATTTGTTCCAGAATGAGATTCACAGAGTGAAATATACAATCATACATTGAAATTACAAAAATGAAAAATTAAAGGAAAATGAACAATCATTATCATTTTTACACCATTCACATTTCATTTCTTTAGGATTTATCTCTAGATAAGTTCAAAGTTACTTTTTAGGCTTGAAATCCATTTTGGCATGTGAGGTTTACCAGCACCTAGAATGAATATGAAAGACATGCTTACAGGGGTGACTGAACGGGGACCCCTGATTAATCTTGTGAAGACAGTATTGTGAATTTTATGCCCTTACTCCTGGAGTTCTTCCCTCAGGGGCAGCTGGGGGCCCACTCAATCATTTCTTCCTGAGGTTGCAAGTTGGCTCGAAAACTTTCTGCTTTACTTGAAAAAATGGAATTAACTACCAGTTTCTGTTTTGGAGAAGCAAGCAGGGATGTGGACACTTGAGTTGGCATGTCTTCTGTCCATGACACTTTCCCACCTTCCCCTTTCCACTTTGAAAACCTCGAAGGGGGCTCCATTTCTTTCTCCCCGTGTTCCCTTCTTAAAACCTGAAGTTCTGCCATGGCTTGGTCCAGCTCAGTTCTTAAGACCTCCACCTCTCTTGTTGCTCACCACAGTCTTTGAAGGACTGCTCTAAAGAAAGGAAAAACTCTTCCCAACTTCGACAAGGCCTCGTCACCTTGAGAGAAAGAAAAAGAAGGAGCAGCAGCTACATTATATGGGGTATTTCAAGAGCAATGGTTGAGAATTTTGCAGCCTGGTGCAAACCCCCACAAACCTTGGCAGGACAAGCTATGTGGAATGTGGCTTCAGTAGAGGGACTGGGGAGTTCTGCTTCTGGGAGCCAAGATGGCAGAGTGAAAAGGTAGGTGCTCTCACTCTCCCCAATCAACCTCTGAAAACCCAGAAAATATCACCCCAGAAAAAAACCCTGGAACAGCTGAACTAGAAGAAAGATGGGGAGCAGCAGTGCAGCAGCCCAGCAAACGGGTCTCCCAGTGCCTCAGCAATAATAAGGGAGGCAGAACTCCAAGGGGCCCCAGGCAGATAAGTACCCTGCAGCATTGATCTGAAAGGAGGTAAAGAAAACAACCTAAAGGTTTCCTAAAGCCCTGGTCTTGCTGGTTCCAACCCAACACCAGGTAAGCTGTCAGAGCCCTGCCTCCAATTGTGAAGAAATCCTGAAGCCCAGGTGGTAGACAGGCAAACACAACACCTGGACCTCTGAGCGTGGGGGGGAACCAGTGGAAACCAGCTCAGAAAACCACCAGGTGCCTCGGCACTCTACCACAAAGGAATCTCCCAGTGCATTAGCAGAAAGGAGGGAGACAACACTGCAGGGGCCCCAGGCAGATAAACACCCTGCAGCACCCATCTAAAAGGAGCTGAAGAAAGCTAAAGGAAAGGAAAAGCAGGCAACCTAGAATTGCCTGAAAGTTCCAGCCTTGCTGATTCCAGCCCAACACCAGGTAAGCTGCCAGAAACCTACAGCCTCAAATTGCCACATAAGAGGTGCCAGCACACAAAGCCAGTGACCAAGACCTAGGCTCCCAACACAAGAAGCTTGGGTCAGTGCCCTCTGTTCCCCAGCAGGAGAGCTCAATCTCTTTAAAGGCCAGGGAATAAAGAAACACCATGAGTAAAAAGAAACGTACCATAGATTCATATTATGAGAAGAGTGAAGATCAAGACAGAAATTCTGAAGAGGACAACATTGTCAACAAACCCACATCTGCAACAACAAAAGGGAATATGAACTGGTCTGAAGCCCAAAAAGCCTTCTTAGAAGAGCTCAAGAAGGATTTTAATAGTCAAATGAGAGAGGTAGAAGAGTCCTTCAAAAATACAATTGGCCAATTGGAAAAAAAATACACTGAAGAAAACAAGTCCCTAAAAAACACAATTGGCCAATTGAAGAAGGAAGTACAAAAACTAACAGAAGAAAACAATCTGTTAAAAACTAGAATTGGACAAATGGAAACTAATGTCTCTATGAGAGAGCAAGAATCAGTCAAACAGAAACAAAAAAATAAAAAAATAGATGAAAATGTAAAATACCTCATCAGTAAAACAACGACCTGGAAAATCGATTCAGGAGAGACAATTTAAAAATTATTGGACTACCTGAAAATCATGATGAAAAAAAGAGCCTGGACAGTATCTTTCAGGAAATCATAAAGGAAAACTGCCCTGAAGTCCTAGAACCAGAAGGGAAAATAACCATAGAAAGAATCCACTGATCACCACCTGAAAGAGATCCCAAATTGACAACGCCAAGGAATATAATAGCAAAATTCCAAAATTACCAGATGAAAGAGAAGGTGCTGCAAGCAGCCAGAAAGAAACAATTTAAATATCATGGAACCACAGTCAGGATTACACAGGACCTTGCAGCTTCTACATTAAAAGACCGCAGGGCATGGAACATGATATTCCATAAGGCAAAGGAGCTTGGAATGCAGCCAAGGATCAATTACCCAGCAAAAATGAGCATCATTTTTCAAGGGAGGAGATGGATATTCAATGAAATAGGAGACTTCCAAACTTTCCTGATAAAAAGACCAGAGCTCAACAAAAAATTTGATCTTCAAGTACAGGACTCAAGAAGGACTTAAAAAGGTAAATGGGACAGAAAGATACAATATGTTGTTAATAAGGGGGGGGCTGTTTAAACCCCTACAAGGGAATATGACACTTGCAACCCTTGAGAACTGTATTGTTATTACACCATGTTAAAGGAGTATACATAAAGAGGGTGGATATTAGTTGACTTTGATGTAATGATAAAAAAAAATCTAATCAAGTGGGTTAAATGGATCCAAATAAGTGGATCAATCTGATCTTAGAAAATGTACTGAGAAAGGAGGAGGCAGACAAGGGTAAATTACATTACAGGAAAAGACACAAAATCCTATTACAGCAGAGGGAAAGAAGGGGGGAGCATTGTTTGAACCTTACTCTCATCAGATTTGGCTCAAGAAGGGCATAACATAATCAGTTAGGTATAGAAATCTAACTTGCCCTATAGGCAGTAGGAGGGAAAAGGGGAAAGAAAAGGAGGGGGGGAAAGAAGGGAGGGAAGAAGCAGTAAGAGTAAAGGGGAAGAAAAGGGAAAGGGATAATAAAAGGGAGGAGGGACTGAAGGAGGCAGTGGTCAAAAGTAAAACACTAGTGTAGGGGGGAAAGGGAAAAGGAGAAAGAAAAGCATAAATGGGGGGGGAAAGGATGGAGAAAAAGACACAGGTAGTAATCATAACTGTGAATATAAATGTGATGAACTCTCCCATAAAACAGAAATGGATTGCAGAATGGATTAAAAACCATAATCCTACAATATGTTGTTTACAGGAAATACATTTGAAAAAGAGTGACACATACAGGGTAAAGGTAAAAGGCTAGAGCAGAATATATTATGTGTCAGCTGAAGTAAAAAAAGCAGGGGTAGCAATCCTGATCTCAGACAAAGCAAAAGCAAAAATAGATCCAATCAAAAGAGATAAGGAAGGAAACTACATCCTGCTAAAAGGCACCATAGACAATGAAGTAATATCATTACTAAACATATATGCACCAAATGGTATAGCATCCAAATTCTTAGAGGAGAAGTTCAGGGAGTTACAGGAAGAAATAGACAGCAAAACTATACTAAATGGGGGACCTGAACCTCCCCCTCTTGGCACTAGATAAGTCTAACCACAAAATAAACAAAAAAGAAGTTCAGGAGGTGAATAGAACATTAGAAAAGTTAGGTATGACAGACCTCAGGGGAAAACTGAACGGGAATAGAAAGGAATGTACTTTTTTCTCAGCAGTACATGGCACATACACAAAAAACTGACCATGTACTAGGGCATAAAAACCTCACAATCCAATGCAGAAAGGCAGAAATATTAAATGCATCCTTTTCAGATCATGACACAATAAAATTATATGTAATAAAGGGCCATGGAAAGATAGACTAAAAATAATTGGAAACTAAATAACCTAATCCTAAAAAATGATTGGGTCAAGTAGAGGGGCTGGGGTGGAACAGACAGCCTTGGGACATTGGCTGTGCACTGTTTCAAAGACTAGGGAAAGGGATTCACACTAGAATGAGAGACAGGTGGTATGGCAGCAAGGTGGCACAGTGGATAGAGCTCTGGCCTTGGAGTCAGGAGGACCTGAGTTCAAATTTGACCCTAGATACTTGATACTTAACTAGCTGTGTGACCCTGGGCAAGTCATTTAACCCCAACTGCCTCATCAAAAAGCAAAAACAAAAAATGACAGACAGGTGGTAGGTTTCTATTTTAATTGTTACCCTTGCTAACTAGGTCCCAAGCTTCTTTGCTGTTGAGGAACTCTAAGTACGGACAATATCCTCTAAATACATTGCCCTGACCAAAGCCATGGTAGCGGTGTAAGTGGAAAAGAGGAGTCCTAACTTCTTTGCTGTGGTGATGGTTTTATGAGCTGCTCGTATGTATTCATACACATAAGCCTTAGCTTATTTTAGTTATGTTTTAGCATTTGCTGACAGGACCACTCTTTTTTTCCCTATTAGTTGACTCCCTTAGCTGGGATTCAGTAGTGCAGAGTCCCTCCAAGCATGTACTCCAGGGTGATCATCCCAGTTCATGATATCCTAGACACAACTTTGTTTATATGAATTTCTACACAGTAAAAATTTACACACTTTTTTTTTTGAGTGGGTACATGTTGGAAACAATCTCATAGATAAATAAAGGTGGGTCCACTCCTCTAGGACAGCCAGAGAATTCACTAAACAGTTAACAAACACTTATTAAGAGTCCACCAATTATTAGTTGCTGTGCTAGGCCATGGGATTTAGATAAAAGACAAAAATGAGACTGTCCTTGCCTTTGAATAACTCACATTATAATGGAAGGATTCTTCTTCCACCCTAGTAGACTTTGATTCAAATGAAAAAGCCTCTCCACTAAAGTCCTTCAGCAATGTCTGGGTGCTCAAAGGTTATACATAGAGAACAGAAACTTGGGAAGATCCTGCCATGCTGGAGAGGACCTATACGTGGATCTAGCAACACACTTGATATCTGACAATCGAGGAGTATCATCCAAACCAAAGCTGTGGAGCCCATCGATAGAACTGATAGCCAAGTGAGGATGAGTTGCTGTGGCTGAAAAAAAACCTCATCACTTTGTGACCAATTCTGGTGATGACCTGTTCAGACCTCTGGGACTTGCAGTTTTGGTCTCCCACACGCAATGCAAAAAAAGCAAAGTCAGGACTCGAACTCTGACTCTCTGACTCCAAAAGAAGTATTCTTTCCAATGTACAATGTTATTGTTAATATTTTACTCAAATCCCCTCATTCTGATTTAAAGTGAATTTCCTCTTGCTGGAAATAGAGGTTATCTTGTCACTATACTTTTTTTTTGAAGATTTAAAAAATTTTATTATTTATGTTTAACATTATTTTCTTTTCAAATTTTGAGTTCCAAATCTCTCCCTCCTTCCCACTCCTCCCCCACCCACTAGGAAAGCAAACATGATACCACGTATAAATGTGAAATCATGCAAAACATATTTCCATATTAGACATATGGTGAAGAATGAAAAGAAAAGGAAAAAGAGAAAAAGAAAAGAAAGCAATGGCAGCTAGGTGGCACAGTGGATAGAGTGCTGGGCCTTCAGTCAGGAAGATTCATCTTC